ACGCATATTGTCGACAGGCTGTCTGTGTGTCTGTTTGGAAGCGAGAGTGAGCTCCCCCTTCCCCCACCCCTCCTCCGCCCCACTCACTGCACAGTACAAACGCATAAAAATGGAAGGATGGCACGTGCTGTGGAAATGTGCTTTTACAATTCTAGCTTCTCAGCTTTCCTTGTTGTTGAATTGAAATTGAGAGAACCTACACACGAGCGTTTTTATGCGTTTTGCGCTGTGTAACAGCAGCGCAAAACGCAAATTATCACGGGGTTGTGTGTGTATGCGTGGCCGGAATTTTGTACTGCACTTTCAGCTCGAGAACCACAAAAGCTAGGCAGCCGAAATTTTAGTAGAACGCTCCTCGCCAACGTGTGACCACGCAAATTTAAATTCAGCCTTCCCGTGCTTTTGGATAACACGCATGGCACCGTGAAATTTTTGGCAGGGAAAGTAATTATCTCAGGAGCCACGAACGCCAGGAAGCTGAAATTTTGTGGGTAAAATTGAATTTAGATTTTCTGCTCACATACGACCCAGAAAATTTAAATTCAATTTTTTCGTGTCCGCGAGTAACACGTGCTGTCCCGTGAAATTTTGGCGAGAATTATTCTCTCGGAAACCAAGAAAGCTAGGAAACTGAAATTTGTGGATATGTCCTCTGCCCATGTGCGACCAGGAAAATTTCAGTTTTCCCGTGCAATTGGGTATCAGCCCCGTGAAAGTCTTGGTGGGAAAATTATCCGAATCCAAAGTGAACCCCTCAGGCGGAGCGGGAAGGGGGGGGGAGGGGGATGAGAGGTAAGGAGAGAGTAAGGCCCTTGGCGGGGGCAACAAGAGGCGGGAGGAGCTTCTCCCTGGATTCGTCTATGAACTCCGTAAATTCAAAATCAGTTTTCAGTCAAGCCTGGGTTTCAGTTACTCGCCCTTGAATGTTTCGGCGTGAAAAATTATTGTCTCGGAAGCCATAAATGATAGAAGGCTGAAATTTTGGGGTAATGCAACCTCGCAGAATTAAATTTAGCTTTCATGTACGCTTGAGTCTCATGTGTGGCCCGAGGAAGTTTTGGTGGAGAAAATTATTATCTCGGGAGCAGGAAGAGCTGTGAGGCTGAAATTTCATGAGGATGTTTTCTGGCTGTGTAGGTATTTCTCAAACTCAAATTTAGCTACCAATTATGCAGAGGTCTTACGTACGATCAAATGAGAGTTTTGATACGAAAGTCTTTAACTGGGAGGACGAAAAACTTGGAGGTTGAAATTTGGAAGGATGTTCCTCATCCATCTTTTCAAATTCAGCTTTCACGTTCCGGCGCGTGAAATTTTCAGGGGGAAATTCCTTACCTTGTGAGCCAGAATCATATCTACCGCTTTTCTACAAATGAAAGTGTAAAACTATTGTATTTTTAGTAGGTAAACGTCTGCTGGACTAAACTGCGCAAACGCATGATCCCACCGGCCACCTGGTGCGCGCCACTCTTTGTTTAATTAGCTTGAACTGCAAAAATGCATAAACG